CCACTTCGCGGCCACATCTCACTTCAAAGGTTGCCATGATGGGATTGGCGGAGTGGCAGAACGCCATGAAGTGGAAGGAGAGATTTGGCAAGAGAATCATGGGGACGGGCGGGGTGGTCAGCTTTCTGCGAAGCTTCTTTCGGGAGAAGGCAGGTAGCGAGGGGGAGGAGGGTATGCGGAAGTATTTCGCGAAGTGGGCTCCGTACCGCATGCGGAGGGTGCACGTCGAGTTTTTCGGCATGAAGGAGATATATCGGACAAATTCGGTCCTGGCAGGCATAGAGGGTACACGAGACATGTGTCACTTCGCGGGAGCAAACACTCCCAAGTGGGATGGGTCCACCACGACCGAGGGGCGCGAAGATGACTGCAAGCTGGTACGAAAGAGCGAGGGGCGGGTGAGCTTGTCGAGTCAAGAGAAGAGCAGGTTGCGGGAAGTCAAGGTGTTGGGTGCAGTAGCGAGCAGATGGAAGGGTAAGGGGGCTGGGTTGCAGGATCCGGTGTCGGGGGAGGAAGACGTGACTTGCAGAAAGGTGAAACGGACGTACAGGCTCAGGACTCGGCTGGCGTCGTGCTTCTGCTCGGCGTGCCAGCGTTGCGAGTATGAGCAGTGCTACGTCAGCAAGACGTACCCACGTCTCGTTCCCGCATTGCAACAGGGCGAAGTGAAGGAAACGGTGATCATGGACACTGGAGGAGCGCCCGTAGACGAAGATAACTCCCGGGGGATCCAGTTCGGGAGTAGGAGGAAGGAATGCAAGATGAAGATAATTACTGGGACACAATGGCAAGAATGCGAATCTGCTGCTGCGTCATAGATTTGGGAAGAGCGTGGTAGGAAGGGAGAGCCCAATGTTGTTGCCCGTTTCGGGCTGTGGGCTGGTTTTTAAGTGATGAGCTTCGTGTATTTGCTTGTGGAGCAGTAGGTGGGGTTCAAAGCCCGTTTGAGGTACAACTTGGTGGTGTGGGGGGAGGGGGGTACCCGAGAAGATGTGAACAAACTTGAAATAATTTGATTTTCTTCAAAGCGAGATGATGCTGCCAAATATGTGCCTGTAGCTCAAGACCAATATGAAATTGAAAAAAAACGACCACAGATTCGTAATCCCCACCCCAAAATTACCCTGGCCTGGAATTTTCAGATCGATCTGACCACTTTTGAAAAGCCGGGATTTTTCGGGACCATCCCCGGGGTTTTGCGTTTTTCGAATTCCCTGGGTAAAAAACGGAACTTGAGTTGAAACCCGGCCAAAAACAGTACAAAAAAAAAAAACGAGTCCACTATTTACATCCACGGGGTAGTTATGTCATCAAAATTTCAGACCTTAGCCGGGGATGTTTCATCACCATCCCCCCCCCCCAAAAAAAAAATCATGACGGTCAGTTGCGGATGGCGCCTCCATAGAAAGAAGTCTAAGATAGATTAGCAATAAATCCATAGCGTGAGCGAAAGGCTACCTGTATGTGTACGGTTTCCCAGACAGCATACATACAACGATAACTCCCCTGTGGGTACTAGGCTCTTCAAGGCAGTTTGGTAGCCATCTTGTGTATCTATCTGTATGTTATGTTGGGAAGTTGTAAAGGGAAGATTTAGGGGAACTCGGTTTGTCGGGTGTTCTATTATCGCACCCTTATGTGATTGCGGGACAAGCGCGTCTCGGGGTGTGTGTGTATATTTTCATCAACTTATTTTTTGTGTGTGATGTATGGGGGCATGTTCGGCGCGGGAGAACATATTTACCTTGTTGTGTAGACTAATGGCATGTCGTTCAATGTGAGAAGGGCACGGGAGAACATTAATTATCTCATCATGGCCTCCTGACGTGGCCGCCGATAGAGGCGTTTGGTTGGGGTTTCATCACTGACATGTGGGTATGTGTTAAATTCAGTGGGTATGGTCGCCTCTCTCCCCCGTGTGTCGGCAGAAGGTATAGCTACCTTTCCCATTTATTTGTAGGCAGCGCGGACCATAAGTAAAGATAGAGTGTATCATTTCATGCATCTACATCATTTGTATGTTGTTGTTGTTGTTGTTGTTGTTGTTGTCGTTGCTGCTGTAATCTTCACATTAAAAACCGTTCCGGTCTCCCTCTACCCAGTACCTTCGTATGTCCGTATTGATCCAACACTCGACGCGGTCGATTCCCGTGGTCGCAGGTTGACTTACCCTAAAAAGGTACACTCAAATAAAATTGCCCCGAGGGGTCCGCAAGTCAATAAAAATCAACGACAGATATTCTGGAGTCCTCCACTCCCTCTGCGCGCTATACGAGGTAACAACTGAGACTAGGAGTCACCATCACGGGCCGGAGAGGATGAGGTACACCCCCTTGGTTCAATCTTGGGTACATCACAACTGTTCTTGTTTTTTTTGCGTTTGTTCTTGAGAGTGACATTGTACACACGCGGCTGCTGCTGCGGTTGCTGCTGTTATGCTCGGTATATGCTGCAATGGTCGTAGGGTTATCGTAGTCAGTTTTGACAACAGTCTGCTCGTTCGTGTAGCGGAAGCGGTGCGCATCTGTCGCGACGGCAAGCGCATTGAGATAACAGTTCGTCCGTCGTGCTTCTAGTCTACACAGACAGATAGTCGTGTTCGTCTGCGTTGCCACTTCATACCAGGAAATAAAGAAAACCTCCACCAACTTATCTCCACAGTTCGGAAACGACGACTGTTCTTCTTTTGTCGTGTTTGTTGTTACTCAGCGCACATCGGATGTCGCCGTTCTCGTTTCACGTGTTGAAGCCTGCGGTGGGCCAGAGGGATGAGTGTGAGTGACTTCTCGAGAATTCATGCCTTGTCTTCTCGGGTCTCTCTTCCTTTAGTCCACCTATCTGTCGCATTTTCGTCGTGAGGGTCGTCCCAATAACATCGAACGTCAACGGCAATCGTTTTGCTTCTTGCTGAGAAGGAGGCTACCCGTGTTCCCGGCTGCTGCACGTGAGGCGATGGGCGTCGCCTCTCTCCGTCAAGCAATGCGCATGCCCCCTACGATTCGCCGCACATGCAGCGCTGTGTGACAGCTTCCAGCTGTACAGAGCGGCGACGGAGTTTTTTCGCCGGTGGGGCCCCAGAACAACGCGAACCGCAACTGTTTCATTGTTGTGGGGTCCCCCACCCACCCATGAATCTCAGCAGTTTTCGTTGGGGAATGTTTTTCTTGTCATCTCCATGACGTGGTGCCCCGAGCGAGTATGGTTCGGCAGGGAATCAATCGCAAACCATGACCCCTCGCCGAGTTTGAGCATCAGCTTGGGCCTCCTGTGATGGACAAGAAGACCGGAAGTTGTGTCGCCATCCAAACAACAGTTGGCCAGTTGAAAGAAAGAGGGTCCGATCCGCAAAAGATTTTGTTTTTTGTTTTTCCCTGCCGACTGGGCTACGGCAGTGCAATTCTCATGGCGTCTCAAGTACGGTTCGGTAGGGAATTGCAAATCACGATCCTCTCCCGATTTTGAGTAGCTTTCACCTCCTGCGGCGGATAAGACCGACGTCAAACCCTAGATTTTGTCAGTCTGTGTCGCCATGTCGCCATGTCGCCATCCACGAACAGCAGTTGGAGAATCTCAAAAAAAGAGGGTCCGCTTTGGCACCAAGAAATCAGTTCTCTCTTTTTTCGATTCTTCTACAGCTGGATATAGACTGTAGTCTATGTTGCTACGATGTATCGAGTATAGCTGTGGTTGAGCTTGAGGGCTAGGTTCTACGGCAGCATATTCTATAGGAGGAGTTAACGCCTTCCTCGTGTAACGATGCGCATCTCCCACACGGCAAGCAGAACGAAGTACGTCATCATGACGTTCTTTTCTGTTACTACAAGTTCAAGTTCGCCCGGGCGTGATTGTTCTTGCGAAATAGACTAAACTTCTACCACGTAACAGTCCGTGTACCCGGCTACTGCATGTATGTGAGGTAGAGGGTGCTGCCCCTGCTGTTTGCTGCGGTACATGGAAAGTTTCCGGTGGGTCAGAGCGGCAAGGGTGCCTGGTTTCTTCACTTGATTCTTAGCTCTGCTCTCCTCTACTTCTTTGTTTCCTGTCGCTGGCGGTCTCTCTTTTTTTATCGCCTTTCGTTCTTGCTTGCAAGAAACTGCGAGGATGAAAACTGGCTGTGTCTGACGGTTTCTTAGGGTCCCCCGCCTACCCACAACCCACCTGTGGGTATGATTGTGGTCTCCAATATGTTCAGTAGGTATCTACTTCAGGACATACGCTTCTACTGCTGCGTCCGTTTATGGGTGGGTGCAACAGAAGAGCCCTAGGGACTGGTGGCCTTCTGACCTGATCGCAGAGAGAGGTTCCTGGCACCACCACAACACGGCTCTTGTGACATGTCCATGACAGGGAACGAGAAACGGCGACCGGGCACTGCTGTAGAAGCGAGTAGGGCGGCCGAGGCAGCACTTGTGGCGAACTATTGTTGTTGTTGTTGTCTTCACATTAAAAACCGTTCCGATCTCTCTCTACCTAGTACCTTCGTATGTTCGTACTGATCCAACACTCGACGCCGTCGATTCCCGTGGTCGCAGGCTAGCTTACTCTAAAAAGGTACACTCAAATAAAAATGGGTCTGCAAGTCAATAAAAATCAACGGCAGATATTCTGGAGTCCTCCACTCCCTCTGCGCGTTATGCGAAGTAACAACTGAGACTAGGAGTCACCATCACGGGC